ACATACAATGATTTATTGCGTGGATAAACATTATTCTTGGAGGCTGTGAGGTTTTAGAGGAAACATCCAACCGTGGCACGAAGCGGTCACCATCTCTTTGCTCCAAAACAATATATAACTTTTGAATTTAATGGCCAGTGTCTACAAGGTTTATTTTGCTTTTCTAACTCATCACCTTTATTCACTTTTTCTGCACTGTGGTTATTTTTATTTAACAGGCTGCTGTTGCACGTATGCACATGTGCTTCTATTGTGACTTTTCAGCTTTTAACTCTATATATTCACATTACTATAGACTCTTCACCATCTTTTCTAACACAGTTCCTCACTCACTTAGGGCATATTTTTACTTATAATTATGGAAACATAAGTTAATGGTTTTTCTACTTAATGTCTGTGTACTTCAACATCCATTTTTAAATTTTAATCTAATTTTACATCAACTTTTAGCTTTAAAGAATAACATTACTATACTAAGGACTTTTCGCCACCTTATCAAACAGTTTCTCACTCACTCAAAACATATTTTTACTTATAATTATAGAAACATAAGCTTACGATTTTTCTATTTAATATCTGTGTACTTCAACATCAATTTTTAAATTTTAATCTAATTTTTACATCAATTTTTAAAGATTCACATTACTATACTATAGACTCTTCACCATCTTTTCTAACACAGTTTCTCACTCACTTAAGGCATATTTTTACTTATAATTATAGAAACATAAGTTAATGATTTTTCTACTTAATGTCTGTGCACTTTATTTTTACATCCATTTTTAATTTTAAATTTATTTTTACATTAACTTTTAACTTTTATATATTCACTTTACTATAAATAAACCCCACCTCTTTTCTAACACAGTTTCTCACTCACTCAAGGCATATTTTTACAACTAGAGAAAAATAAGTTAATGATTTTTCTACTTAATGTCTATATACTTTAACATCCATTTTTAACTTTTAATTTAATTTTTACATCAACTTTATAAAATCACATTACTATACTATAGACTCTTCACCATCTTATTTAACACAGTTTCTCACTCACTTAGGGCATATTTTTACTTATAATTATAGAAACATAAGTTAATGATTTTGTTACTTAATGTCTGTGCACTTCAACATCCATTTTTAAATTTTTATCTAATTTTACATCAATTTTTAACTTTAAAGAATCACATTACTATAATATAGACTCTTCACTGTCTTATCAACAGTTTTTCACTTTACTTAAGGCATATTCTTATTTATAACTATAGAAACATACCTTTATTATTTTCTACTTATTGCCTGTGTACTTCAACATCTATTTTAACTTTTAATTTCATTTTTGCATCAACTTAATTTAATTTTTACACCTTTATATTATAATTATAGAAACAAAAGGTTGTGATTTTTCTACTCGATGTCTGCGTACTTTAACAGCCATTTTTAACTTTTAATTTCATTTTTACATCCACAATTTAATTTTTACATCAAGAACAAAGGGCTCTGGGGGGGGGTCAGGGCAGGGAGGGGTCGCTCACCCGTTAATGTTGTCAGGAAAATGAATCCACAAACATCAGAGGAGAGTTTTTATTTTATTTGAATAAAGGGAGAGGCCACGGGGCATTCCCAATTTTTATCCCAATTTTGATCCCAATTTTTATCCCAATTTTGATCCCAATTTTTATCCCAATTTTGATCCCAATTTTTATCCCAATTTCCTGGCCTCATTTCCCTTCTCTCTTTCCCCATTTCTGAGGTGCTTGAGAGGTTCAGACTTTCCAAAATGTCCGATACAAAGATTCCCCTCTAATGGATACGAAAGAATTCCCCTCCTTTTTCATTTTTAATTCTTATGGAATTTAGGGGTTTTCCTCATTGTTTCAAAATCCAGTTTCATTTATCAGCAAACCTAAGGTTTGTTTGGAAAAGAAAAACTCTTTTTCCATTCATCAATCTGCGGAATCCTTCCCATTGTTCCTTTTCTCTCCCAGTGCTGGTTTTCTCCACCAGCAGAGCCACAGCTGGTTTGGAAAGACAAATCCCACATTCCTCTCAATGTCGTGGGCAAAAGGGACTCAGCTTGGGGAAATTAATTGCATTTATTACTAATCAAATCGGAGCGGGATAATGAAAAGTAAAAGCTCAGCAACATCTTCCTTCAGCATCCCTCCCTCCAGCGGCACGGGAGATGGGAACAGGGGCCTGGGCATTCAGCACA